AATATCTTCTCTCCTTCGGGCCCTTTCCTTAAGCACTGTCTGCAGGTCCATTGACCTAGGCAACTCCGTGTGCCTAGATGTGTTTGGTGCAAATGCGAGGGCCGATAACTACTTCCCTCCGTGTAAGACCTTTCAGTCCTCATTCTCTCAGACCTGGAGTAACGAGTCCTGGAAGTCTTTGATTGTATATCGTCTGTCCTGAGGCTTCTACTTTCAGCTTGTGACGGTGTGACTTGTCTGTCACGATCTTCTAAGTGGTAAGAGTGTGTGCTGCCTTTGCACCCCTCTTCTGTTGCCACCTCTTTGCCTTTTATCCGACGCTTCATTGTCTCCATGTCTGCCGCCATCCTCTGTATCAATTCGTCTTGCTCTCTTACGCGATCTTCCAGAACCTGAGGATCCAACCTCAGCCTCTGCCTTTCAGGGCTTTGGGAGTGACGAGGACTGGAGCTCCGTCTTTCTCGTGTGTCCCTCCGCAGGTTCCGTTACTAGGGATCTAACTCTGCCATGGGCGGGATAAAAGGTAAGCCTTCACGCCTCTCTCCCATCTCTAAGGTTTACCCATCAATAGCGGAGTGTGGCAAGTATTCATTGTGTGCCATAGAAATTCAATTAAAGAGGAAACTCAATCAAAAGGTTTGTTATTTGTGTGATTTCCCACAAACAGCGCCAATTGTACGAGCACGAAATAACCTTCTCGTATAATCTTGTTGATCAAGTTTGTACTTCTCCAAAGGTCGTCGCTTTGTCACCTGAAAATACAAACGTGAGCTAGCTAGCGAGTATGTGCCAGAAACCTCTCCGATGCCAAAGTCAGCAAATAGACAATAGACACAAAACCTCTATGTATTCTAGGATGAGAATTGTGATACCTGTACATAGGTCTGTCATGAGCTTTTGTAGATTCCGTATGGCACAACCCTAGTAGGATTCCAACTCTTCACATACAAGTCCTCCTAAGAATCACATTTCCAAGGTAATGCCTATCCTGATAACACCCTACTCACTGCTGTCCAAATGAGACGGTTTTTACCACGACTTAGTTGGTGCGGTTTTAACCGAGCTAGCCTATCTCCGCCGTGCTCTCAACAAAGCAATGAGGTTGATAATGTTCTGTTGCGACCCAAACCTGCCCCTATAGGTTTAGCATCATGACCGTCCAGCAATCATAGATCACCTACGGCCTCCATACAAATAAACCTTTAATATAAAGTACGGGGCTTAGCGGAAGTCTAAAATGTTATAGAATTCATCCATTGAGCCGTGCATATATGAGGAGAGCAAATATGTTAAGCAAAGTTTTGTTTCAAGTTACACCCAACATAAGTACAAATTCATGTCTTACAAAAATACAACCCCAACTATGTACAAATACAAAACCATTAAACCACACAAAAGGGGTTCGACAAGCATGGCTCCACCCAAGCCTGATTACTTCACTTGGAAGCTCCACAAAAGGCTGACCCGGGTAAACTCGAGGCTATCTAACTCTAATGTTCAATTTGCCCACCTACAATTACATATATAAATAAATAGTGAGCTAGAGCCCAATGAGTAATAACAAAATAAAGAGGTTAAATGAATGAAGTTTGACAATAGTACAAAAACATGTCTTACAATTTCGAAATGAATCTTAAATCATTTTCAAAGGAGGCATTCGCCATATTAGATCAAATTCACCACAAAACATTTTGACTAGCAATAATAGCATCTCTTTGTAGAAACAAAAGCCATTCGTAATATTATATGTGGTACATCCATGAAGTGACAAATATTATTCCAATGATAACGTACCATACTAGCTATGGTATTGTTACCCCCAAGCAAGGGCCTAGCCATGGTATTATTACCCCCAAGTAAGGGCCTAGCCATGGTAGTATTACCCCCAGGCAAGGGCATTGCAAGGGCCTAGCCATGGTACTATTACCCCTAGGCAAGGGCCTAGCCATGGTACTATTACCCCCAGGCAAGGGCCTATATTCAATGGATGCCACAATATCGTCTCAAAATAGAACTTCGTTCATTAGAGGACATAACATTTCAATAAGCCATGCTATCAATTATCAAATCACTTTAAGAATTCATTCAATCAATCACATATCCGATTTGATAGCAATAACATTTTCGAAAGTATATAAATTGAACATATCTTTATAAGGTTATTACTCAGAGTAGTTTGTGGTGACACTAAGCCTCGAACGTCCACCTAAATGAAGCACATAACAAAGTACAAATGAAATTCCATTTTATTTTAATTTAATTCTCTTTACGCATCTCTAACTTATTATATGATTATCAGAGTCCAAATGGTGCCTAAGAATGCTTGGAGTGGCATGAGGATGCAAATATGCACTTAAAAGAGTTGGTAAAATTTTGCTGAAATCAGGGTCTCCGCTCGAGCGCAACTTCCTACACTCGAGCGGGGGTTCAAAAACAAAGGTGGTCGCTCGAGCGTAACTTCTGTCGCTCGAGCAGTCTGTAAAAGTACTGGATACATGAAATTCCCACTCGATGGTCGCTCGAGCTAAAGACTGAGAAAAAGGGTCCTCGCTCGAGCGCCACTTTGGTCGCTTGAGCGGACTGTAAAATTTTAGATACTTCTGGGAGCCCGAATTCCACGCTCGAGCGTGGACTCCCTCGCTCGAGCAGACAGCACGAATTCTGAAATTTTCAGAACTGTGTTTAAAGTTCAAAGATGGTACTCAAAGCTTCAAATCTTATGTTTTTGGTATAAAAACACGGAGCGTCACTATATAACACGAAAACACTTCCAATTTGAACCCACTTATTCAAAATCATGGTAATTTCCCAACCAATGACTCCAACCTCAATTTATAAAATAAGTTTAACTCAATTTGAGTGTAAATTTCTTCAAAACATGCTCAAAATATGATCAAGTGACACGAGAAGCATGAAAACATGAAGGATTCTCCAAAACAAGGTATAGTTGTGCCATGCATGTATGAATTTCATGGAGCTTAACTCAAAATTTGCATGCATGTAAGCAATTTAACTCCATTCTTCCATTTTTATGATATTCATAGCTTCTTTTCTTCAATAACATGCCAATGAGTTCAAAAATGAGAGGAATTCAACTACTATATGTCATAACTACATGAATTAGTAATGAATGCCATACCTAGTGTTGAATTCAAGTGTATTATGGCTCCAATCTTTGAATCTTCCACTAATTTTCTACAATTCTCCTCCTTCTCTCTCTAAATGTTGAACTCTCCTCTCCTCTCTCTCAATTCTCAGCTAAGTGTGCATATAAAATGAGATCATAAGCTCAATTTGGGTCTTATATAGGATGTGATTAAGTTAGCCTAATCAAATATGGTTAGGATTAATTAATTAGGCTTAACTCTAACTAATTCAATCAGTATATTCTAATTATTTTGATCCAAATCAAACATTAATTAAAGTTGCCATAAAATTCTAAATATTCTAATTAGCCCATTGGGCTAGTCAGTTTCAGTTTCTGAAGCCGTTTAGGCTCCCAATTTCCGACTCTAAGTTATCGATTTAAACAGATATTCCATATATCAACACATAATTGTAGAATCAAACATGTAATCACACAATCAAGAACATAATCATGCAATTAAACTTATTTAAATTATATAATGTACCAGTTTGGAGGTCAGGGTCGTTCAGTCTCTCTCCCCCTTAGAAAGTTTGGTCCTCCAAACTTAAGTTACCTTGAGACAGAAACAAATGTGGATACTGTTGCTGCATCTCTTCCTCTTTCTCCTAAGTGGCCTCCTTCCCATAATGTTCTCTCCACTCGACCTTCACCATAGGGATAGTTTTATTCCTCAATTACTTCACGTGCCGATCAATGATTTGCATGGGCCATTCCTCATACATCATATCCTCGTCCAGAGCAATCCGGTGGTAATCAATCACATGGAACGGATCTTTAAGATAACCACGAAGCATGGATACATGGAAAACGTTATGCATTTGTTCCATTCCCAGTGGCAAGGCAATATGATAAGCAACAAGACCCAACCTCTCAAGGATTTTAAACGGTCCAATGTAGCGAGGAGTCAATTTTCCCTTTTTACCAAATCTCATATGCCCCTTCATTGGGGTCACCTTGATGAATACATGATCTCCCACCTCGTACTCTAAATTCCTTCTTCGCTGATCGGCGTAGCTTTTCTGTCAGCTCTGTGCAGTTTTGAGCCTTTGCTGGATGATTTTGATCTTCTCAGTCATTTCTTGCACAAGTTCAGTCCCATAAATAGCTCTATTACCAACCTCTGTCCAACAAACTGGCGATCTACACTTTCTACCATATAGTGCCTCATATGGTGCCATACCGATACTCGCGTGAAAACTATTATTATAAGCAAATTCGGCCAATGGCAAATAAGTTTCCCAACTTCCCTGAAAATCCAATACACACATGCGAAGCATATCTTCTAAGGTCTGAATAGTCCTCTCAGTTTGCCCATCGGTTTGTGGATGAAATGTTGTACTAAATCTCAATTCTGTTCTCATTGCCTCCTGCAAACTATGCCAAAATCTAGTATCTGATACAATAGACACTGGAACCCCATGCAGTCGAATAATCTCATCAATGTAGATAGTAGCAAGTCTATAAGCAGTAAGTGAAGTCTTTATAGCAAGGAAGTGGGCATATTTAGTCAATCTATCAACTATAACCCAAATAGAGTCCATACCTCTAGGTGTTCGAGGTAGGCCAACAACAAAGTCCATGGTGATATGTTCCCATTTCCATTCCGGAATAGGAAAAGACTGAAGCAGACCTACTGGTTTCTGATGTTCTGCTTTTACCTGCTGGCATCGTAAGCATTTAGAGTTGAAGTCAGCAATCTCCCTTTTCATGTTAGGCCATCAATATACTAACTTCAAATCTTGGTACATTTTGGTGTTTCCTAGATGTATACTAAACATTGTCTTGTGAGCTTCCTCTAAAATTTTCCTTATCAAATCCGTATCATTCGGGACACACAACCTCCCCTAATATTTCAATACAGAGTTTCAATTATGAACCCCAGTCTAGGCTTGGTGTCAAGTTCATCACAAAGCTTTTTCAAGAACTCATCATTCATCTGTTTCTGCTTAATTTCCTTGATAATAGCAGGCTGGGCAGACATTGCAGCCATCATGCTACTTTGTTCAAAAGGCACCACTTCAATTTCGAGTTTTTCAAACTCTAATAGCAGCTCTCTTTGATCTGTGAGTAAACAAGCAAGATTCCCCATATTGTTTTTACTAAGTGCATCTGCTACAGTATTAGCTTTGCCGGATGATAGTGAATCTGTAAGTCATAATCTTTGATTAACTCAAGCCATCGTCTTTGACGCATGTTCAGTTCCTTCTAAGTAAAGAGGTATTTCAAGCTCTTATGATCTGTATACACTTCACATTTGGCTCCATACAAATAGTGACGCCATATCTTTAGTGCAAACACCACTACAGCAAGTTCTAGGTCATGTGTAGGGTAGTTCTTTTCATGTGATCTCAATTGTCGAGAGGCATATGCAATAACCTTGCCATTCTGCATTAAAACACAACCCAAGCCCTTATAGGATGCATCACTAAAAATCACAAAATTTTCGATACCTAAGGGAATAGAAAGGATTGGGGCTGTAGTCAATCTTGTCTTCAACTCTTGAAAAGTTGTTTCTCTCTGATTCGTCCACTCAAATGGTTTCCCTTTTCGAGTCAACTGAGTCAATGACACGACTATTTTGGAAAAGTCTCTGACAAATCTTCGGTAATACCCTGCCAATCCCATAAAACTACGACCTTCTGATACATTAGTTAGGGTAGGCCAATTAATAATAGCTTCAATTTTATGAGGATCCACAGATATACCATCCCTATTAATAATGTGTCCCAAAAATGCAATTTCATCAAGCCAAAATTCACACTTTTTGAATTTCCCATACAACTGTCTTTCTCTAAGTGTTTGAAAAGTCAATTTCAAATGTCGTTCATGCTCATCTTTACTTTCAAATAGATCAAAATGTCATCAATGAATACAACAACGAAGTCATCTAGGAAAGGTTTGAAAATTCTGTTCATTAAATCCATAAATGCTGCAGGCGCATTTGTAACCCCAAATGGCATGACTAAAAACTCATAATGTCCATACCTGGTTTGGAAGGCAGTCTTTTCAACATCCTCAGCCTTAACCTTCAATTGATGATATCTCGATCTCAAGTCAATTTTTGAAAATATATGTGCCCCCTGCAACTGGTCAAACGGGTCGTCAATACGCGGTAAAGGGTATTTATTTTTCATTGTTACCTTGTTGAGCTCTCAGTAATCAATGTATAATCGAAGAGTGCATCCTTCTTTTTAACAAAAAGTACCAGTGCGCCCCATGGGGAGGTACTTGGTCTGATAAATCCTTTATCCAGCAATTCCTGCAACTGAATTTTCAATTCTTTTATTTCAGTGGTAAACATATAGTAGGGAGTTTTAGAAATTGGTCGAGTTCCTGGTATTACTTCAATTGTGAATTCGATTTCTCTATCAACAAGTTGGCTAGGTAATTCATCCGTAAACACAACAAGAAAATCTCTCACCACTGGTATATTGTCTAATGTAATGTCTACCGTGGGTTCGGTTATCACACTACACAAATACCCTTGGCAACCCTTATTCATTAGTTTTCGGGCTTTCATGACAGATATAAGGTATGGTGGTAAGACTACCCCTTTTCCCTCAAAATAAAATTCCTCTTGCCCGAGAGGTCGGAATATTACTCGTTTCAAGGCACAATCAATTGTTGCATGGTATTTAGCTAGCCAATCCATACCCAAAATAACATTGAAATCTCCCATGTCTAAAGGTATTAAATCAGCATACAAAGTGGCATTCTCGAGAAATAATTCACATGCAATAAACATAGTTGAACATAGCATGGTTTCCCCAGTAGATGATGTAACACATAGTATATAATTCAATGTTTCTATATGTCTATTCAAAGTTTCAGCAAAGACCATAGAAATAAATGAGTGTGTAGACCCGGAATCAATTAAAGCATAAGCAGGTTTACCACAAATGGAGATTGTACTTGACACCACAGCCTCAGTATTCTGAGTATCCCCCACCCTTCCTTGTCTTTGATCATTTCTTGTGGTGGGTGATGCTGCAGCTGGTTTCGTTGTGGGAGTTGACCCAATTGAGCTTGTGGCACCTCGGTTGCCACCCTGACATGGTTGTGTACAATCCTTGGCAATGTGCCCAAACTTCCCACAGTGATAACAAGCCCCTGTCGCACGATAACATACACCTCCATGTTTCTTTCCACATGTAGTACAAGCTGGTGTTGAATTACCACTTTGGCTTGAACCAGTATTAGTAGAATTCCCCAACTTGAACTTCTTGTTCGTTGACATAGTTCCCTTACTAAAATTTTGTTTTCTACCTTTCCATTCGAATTTTTGTTTACGGCTAGCCACATTTCTCTCTACTATTAGTGTCCTATCAAGTACATCCACATACGTCAGCAATTTGAGTACATTAATCTTATCTAGAATCGAGTCACGTAAACCTCCTTCGAATTGTCTAGACTTCATGTAATCTGTGTCTACCAAGTGGGGTGCAAAGCGAGCTAATTCTGTAAACTGAGCCTCATATTCAGCAATTGATTTATTTCTCTACTTGAGTTCCATGAATTCAGTTGCCTTTCTATCCTGCACACAGTGGGGAAAATATTTCTCATAGAAACTTTCCAGAAAACGAGCCCAAGTAACATCCTTATTATCATCTCGCACCAACATCCACCAACGTCTGGCATCATCTTCTAGGGTGAATGCTGCTAGTTGCACTTTCTGAGTTTCGGTACATGGGAATACTTCAAACAACTTTTCAATGCCCAAGACCTAAGCTTCGGCCTTCAACGGTTCAATTCTGCCATGAAATACTGGTGGCTTCATCTTTTTAAATTCCCTGGTCAAGGCAATAGTACAAGTCTCCGGCTGACACCCTGGAGCTGGAGGTGGTACGGGCGTTAGAGGTGTGGGAGGTGGTTATTGTTGTTGTTGTTGCTATTGTTGTTGTTGTCTTATGGCTTCAGCCATGTCTTGCATCATTCGTTCTATTCTATCCAGCCTTAAGGAGGTTGCCTCCTCTATTTCATCACCTCTGGTTCTCACCATTTTCTATATGAAACTTTGTATTATAACAAACACAATTTATATATATGCATATAGTCATGTACGCAGTTGCATGTATAATCACAAGGTTATCTCACTCAACATATCAAATGTGTATGAATGCATTCCTGAAGCCTCTTCTAGACCCTCTATAACTCAATGGACAAGTGAGTGAGATATAACTCGGGCTTTGATACCACTCTGTCGCGACCCAAACCTGCCCCTATAGGTTTAGCGTCAGGACAGGTCAGCAATCGTAGATCACCTATGGTCTCCATACAAATAAACCTTTAATATAAAGTACGAGGCTTAGCGGAAGTCTAAAATGTTATAGAATTCATCCATTGAGCCATGCATATATGAGGAGAGCAAATATGTTAAGCAAAGTTTTGTTTCAAGTTACACCTAACATAAGTACAAATTCATGTCTTACAAAAATACAACCCCAACTATGTACGAATACAAAACCATTAAACCACACAAAAGGGGTTCGACAAGCATGGCTCCACCCAAGCCTGATTACTTCACTTGGAAGCTCCACAAAAGGCTGACTCGGGTAAACTCGACGCTATCTAACTCTGATGTTCAGTTTGCCCACCTACAATTACATATATAAATAAATAAAGCCCAATGAGTAATAACAGAATAAAGAGGTTAAATGAATGAAGTTTGACAATAGTATAAAAACATGTCTTACAATTTCGAAATGAATCTTAAATCATTTTCAAGGGAGCATTCGCCATATTAGATCAAATTCACCACAAAACATTTTGACTAGCAATAATAGCATCTCTTTGTAGAAACAAAAGCCATTCGTAATATTATGTGTGGTACATCCATGAAGTGACAAATATTATTCCAATGATAACGTATCATACTAGCCATGGTATTGTTACCCCCAGGCAAGGGCCTAGCCAAGGTATTATTACCCCCAGGCAAGAGCCTAGCCATGGTACTATTACCCCCAAGCAAGGGCCTATATTCAATGGATGCCACAATATTGTTTCAAAATAGAACTTCATTCATTAGAGGACATAACATTTCAATAAGCCATGCAATCAATTATCAAATCACTTTAAGAATTCATTCAATCAATCACATATCTGTTTTGATAGCAATAACATTTTCGAAAGTAAAGATAAATTGAACATCTCTTTATAAGGTTATTACTCACAGTGGTTTGCGGTGACACTAAGCCTCGGACGTCCACCTAAATGAAGCACATAACAAAGTACAAATGAAATTCCATTTTACTTTAATTTAATTCCCTTTATGCGTCTCTAACTTATTGAATGATTATCGGAGTCCAAATGGTGCCTAAGAATGCTTGGAGTGGCATGAGGATGCAAATATGCAATTAAAAGAGTTGGTAAAATTTTGCTGAAAACAGAGTCTCTGCTCGAGCGTAACTCCCTACGCTCGAGCAGGGGTTCAAAAACAAAGGTGGTCGCTCGAGCGTAACTTCTGTCGCTCGAGCAGTCTATAAAAGTACTAGATACATGAAATTCCCGCTCAATGGTCGCTCGAGCGGAAGACTGAGAAAAAGGGTCCTCGCTCGAACGCCACTTTGGTCGCTCGAGCAGACTGTAAAATTTTAGAAACTTTTGGGAGCCCAAATTCCACGCTCGAGTGTGGACTCCCTCGCTCGAGCGGACATCACGAATTCTGGAATTTCCAGAACTATGTTTGAAGTTCAAACATGGTACTCAAAGCTTCAAATCTTGGGTTTTTAGTATAAAAACATAGAGAGTCACTATATAACATGAAAACAATTCCAATTTGAATCCACTTATTCAAAATCATGGTAATTTCCCAACCAATGACTCTAACCTAAATTTATAAAATAAGTTTAACTCAATTTGAGTGTATATTTCTCCAAAACATGCTCAAAATATGATCAAGTGACACGAGAAGTATGAAAACATGAAGGATTCTCCAAAATGAGGTATAATTGTGCCATGCACGTATGAATTTCATGGAGCTTAACTCAAAATATGCATGCATGCATGTAAACAATTGAACTCCAGTCTTCCATTTTTATGATATTCATAGCTTCTTTTCTTCAATAACATGCCAATGAGTTCAAAAATGAGAGGAATTCAACTACTATATGCCATAACTACATGAATTAGTGATGAATGTCATCCCTAGTGTTGAATTCAAGTGTATTATGGCTCCAATCTTTGAATCTTCCACTAATTTTCTACAATTCTCCTCTTTCTCTCTCTAAATGTTGAACTCTTCTCTCCTCTCTCTCAATTCTCAGCTAAGTGTGCATATAAAATGAGATCATAAGCTCAATTTGGGTCTTATATAGGATGTGATTAAGTTAGCCTAATCAAATATCATTAGGATTAATTAATTAGGCTTAACTCTAACTAATTCAATCAGTTTATTCTAATTATTTTGATCCAAATCAAACATCAATTAAAGTTGCCATAAAATTCTAAATATTCTAATTAGCCCATTGGGCTAGTCAATTTCAGTTTCTGAAGCCGTTTAGGCTACCAATTTCGGATTCGAAGTTATCGATTTAAACAGATATTTCATATATCAACACATAATTGTAGAATCAAACATGTAATCACACAATCAAGCACATAATCATGCAATTAAACTTATTTAAATTATATAATCTACTAGTTTGGAGGTCAGGGTCGTCACACGTTCGGCCAACTAAACTTGTTTGGCCCTTACCACTGATGCATACCTTGGTTGGCTACAAGACTTCCTTTTGGGCAGTTTAAGTCGAAGCGTGGGCAGCGTAGCCAACCGGATCGACGTCGGTCCGCCCAAAACTAAGCTACTGAAGCCCCTACTATGGCCCATAACCCGGTTCTTAGCACGGCCCAATTTACCTATATAAATTACCCTTTCGGGATCTATACATAGAAGATAAGAGTGATTTATCAAATTTTCATGAAAAAAATGCTAGAGACCCCAAATATTTTACCAACATTTTTGCCAAATGTCTCACACGTGTCAGACATTTGGTAAAAATGTTAATAAAATATTTGGGGTTCCTAACATTACTCTTTCATGAAAGCAAACTAACTGACACATAGGAAAAAGAGATGAGGTTTAAATATTTTATTCCAAATCTGCGATATTGACACAGAGTATTGGATTTTTTATTTTTACTTATTTATTTATTTATTTGATAAGTAAGTCATATTATAACCAAAAAAGAAAGATATACAATGAAGTTCAATACACATCTTTTGTAGAAAGAACAAAAATAAACAAAAACAAACTATTCCATCAAAAGAAACGAAACTAAGCCTATAGAAGACAAACACAACATCACAACAAAAAAGATTCACAATTTTGCTCTAACACACTTCAAGTTCTGAAGTTTCACTTTGAGTTTTCTTCTATTATCCTCTTTTGTAGTCTTCCCATTACTAGGGTCACTTGGAGATAGGAGGATAGAGAAAAGAAAACGAATAAAAACATTAAAAGAGAATAGAGAAGGCGCTGACTACTAGTACAATGGTGGTAAGGGGCGGAGCTATTCATTGCTTAGTCTCACTGACCTTTCAAATTTTGTTTAAATATATATGGAATTTTGTCCAACAGTATTTTGGGTTTTAGCAAAATGACCCTGTGAATCTAGAAGCAAAATATTAAATTTTGAATTTTTACAAATTGACCCAATGAAGTTTATATATATACATAATTTTAGTATTTCAGGAGGATAATGTCATACAAATTTTTTATTTTTATTAACCAATGCATTATGCAATGATGAATCTTTTAGAAATTAAACATAACTCACTTCAATGATATAATAAGTGTCAAAATTTTATTACTCCGTATAACATTATTCTTTATGAAACAACCTAAGTGTTTATTCATATTCATTCGCTCCATCAACACTTCATTATCTAACAATTATTGTTACATTGCCATTGATGCATTCCATCGTTTGTTCTCTCTCACAGAATGAAATTAAATAATAATATATATAATTAATAATATAACAATACTATTTCTATTATACCTAGGAAAAGTTTAAAAGAAAAATGGTTGGAACAACAACTGCTATTGACATCTTTGATTTTCTATTCACTCATGATCTGGCCTAATCGACCCGATCATGATATTGAGGGAAGAGACCCTTTCTCGAAAAAACTCTGGGCTACGCCACTAATGGCAGTGGTCGTTGGTCTACAGCAGCATAAAATAATAATAAATAAATAATTGCAAATAAGTGACATTCTATAAAATATTTACAAATTCAAAAAAAATTTACAATTTTAATTATTAAAATTTATAAATTTTTCTACTGATTTGTAATTTTATTTTATATTTTTAGAAACTTGCACTAAAGTGCAATTTCTCAAAAAAAAAACAAAAAAAAAAAACAAAGGGAATGAAGGAGATAGATGGGGAAAAAAATAATAGAATAAAAAAAGGAAAAGGAAGTATGGGCACTTTGATAAAAATTGAGAAGGAAAGTGTAGAGCGAGAGAGTGTATGTGCACACAGAAAATAGGAATAAGCTCATCTTTATATCTTGTCTCTTCATATTTTTTTCATACTTCTTTTGTGGGTTTTAATTCGAATTTGCATTGATGATCCAAACCGTCTATTTCGTAAGCCCTGCAATGAAGATCATCCATGTAAAAAAATTAGTTTCATCGAACAATTATTTTTTAAAAAAAAAAATGGGAACAAATCGCATTTTGCAGGTATGACCTTTATTGTGAGGCATACGAGATAGGCGGTTCGGGTCATCGATATGGGTTTAGATTGAAATCTACAAGAAGAGTATAGAGAGGTATAGAAAGATGAGTTATGAAAGATAGCTTATCCATAGAAAATGAGATTTGGGAGACCACTTGCTACAAAAGTAGAAGATGAAATACGGGTTGTGATCCAATGTGGTCACGCCCCGAGTGATATGATGCTATATATGGAATTTTAGTATTAGTTAAGGGTAAGATTGGTATTTTAACAGCTAATTTGCTGATGTTGTTTGGGAGCTTCTATTTACATACACTCATTTCCCTCTTTACACATCTTTTTCAATAAATAATTGGTTCGGAAGTAGATTTCCGAAAATAAACAATTGGTTCGGAAGTAGCATTCTGAAAATAAATAACTTGTTTGGAAGTAGAGTTCCAAATTTTTTTTATTTTTTCGACATTCAACTTCCGAATGAGTTTATTTAATGTCCATAATAGTAATTTCACTTGAAAATAAAATTATAATAAAAATAATTTTTATTAAATGTGTGTAAAGAGGGGATTGTGGATGTGCAAATAGAAGCTCCCATGTTGTTCACTTCTGTCAAGCTTTTGAACAATTACAAATGTAAGGGAGATTAATGTAATTATTGAAACTATAGAGGAGGTTAATGTAATTTATCCAAGAAGTAAATAACTACCATTTGCTGATAAACAAGGAAAACCATGGGATACTAAGAAAGCAAGCTTCCTGTTTCGACGTAAAATATTTTTATACAAAATAATATCTTTGTGTAAAATACTTAGGCTCCATTTATTTCGATGCAAAATATTTTACACAAAAAAAATTATTTTTGTTTTTGCTTTTTGGCATTTGATTGACATTTGAAACAAAAATATTTTATTGTCTAAAAGAGAAATTTTGATTCAATAAAATGTCATTTATGATTTTTTAATGAGATAAGATACTTATTTGAAAAGACTAAATATGTTAAAAAAATAGTGAGTGAGTCAACTTTGTAAAAACTGACTTGCGGAAACTTTAAAGGTAAGTCATTTTTGAAAAATGATACAAAGATATTTTCCTTAAAAAAAACATTTTACTTATTTTTTGTTAAACAAACAACGAAAAATGAGTAAAATACATCAAAACAAACAGAGCCTATTTAAAAAGGCTAAACGTGTTGAGAATGTAGTGAGTGGAAGTTGACTTTGTAAAAATTGACTTGTGAAATTTTTAAAAGTAAATCATTTTTAGAAAAATGACACAAAAATATTTTTTTTTTAAAAATATTTTACTTACTTTTTGATTAACCAAACAACGAAAAATGAATAAAATATTTTTTTAAAAAAAACATTTTGCATCAAAATAAACAGAACCAAAAACAAGAACAAGGAAAATAAAAATAAAAAATAGAAACATGCAATTTTTTGATATATTGGTACGATTGTTTCACTTTCAAAGAATAGTAGTAATTCAAACATCCACAAGAGTAGTAGTAATTCAAACAGAATAAATGTGCACACTACATTTTTCACTTTCACTTTCAAGCATCCACAAGAGTAGTAGTAATTCAAACAGAATAAATGTGCACACTACATTTTTCAAAAGCCCAAAATTCATCTTCCATTCAAACCATCATTTCCTACTCTTTGTTATTATTATACATCACTATTTTGTAACTCATTATATCACCACACTCAATATTAAAAATATGAAGAGAGAGAGAGAGAGAGGGGAAAAAAAAAAAACCAATAGTCAAAACACAGGGTTAAAAAAATGTGAAATGAAAAGAAAAAAAAATCCAATCACACAAATCGGTTAAATGGTTTCCTCCCAACAGCAGCAGGCATAGAAACAGTTGAATCAATGCTTAAATCCCCCACAGATTGCAAAGACTGGTCTTTTTCCGACACCCTTTGTGAAGTTGAATCCTTGGTAGAGCCTTTGTTCCACTTGAAAGAGCCAATGTTGGGTGTGAGAGGGAATGAAAACCTCCTCTTCGACTTGGAATCACCACTCAGAGTCCCTGGAAACCTGTTTGGGTTGCTATTTGTTCTCACTTTAGCTTTAGCTGAAACTGTCGGTGTCATGTAGTTTGGAACAGAAAATGGAGGGCAGCTCATGAGGCTGTCGTCGTCCCTTAGTGGCACATCAGAAGCAGAATCAGCAGCAACACTACTTCTTGGTTTCAAATATTTTTTCGCTGGAACTGCTGATCTTGTTGACGTTGGTGTGAGCAATTCCAGACGGTCCAACCCACTAGTAATATTATCTTGCTTGTAGTTGCTTGTGGCAGGTTGTGGGCTTGGTTTTGTCTCTGACATTAATGTTGGCCTAGGAGGTGTTGGAAGAAAGCTCTTCGTGGTTTGGGTATTACTAGGATTTGCAGGAGGTAGATGATGACGTTCCAACCAGTTCCACCACCAGGGAAACCCACCAGATCGGATGTCCATTGCCCATGTTGGAGCTGATTTGGGATTGCCTTTCAGTAACTGATTATTGCACATAGATTTCAAAATGAGAATACATGGGAAAAAATAAAAATAATCAATGAAACTAGAATATGTTACTTAGACCATTCAGTTATTTGGGATCAATGCAGTGGCGACAAGAAATTTGTATGTGTTTGCATAATTTTTCTTTGCCTGCACCTTATCCAAAAGAAAAAGAATTTCCTATAAAACTAGAACTACTGGGCTAGCATCTTTGTGTGTGGAAGCTTGTATCAGTGGATTTCATTCCATGCCAATTTAACTTGCCTATTGTTTATTTTCTTTTTGGATCTCATTTATTGTGGACTACAAAAATATATATAATGTTGTAGAGAATTAAATTTATTTACAAGGTGCATAAGCTTGTGAGACATGGGATGCTGTTACCTTTCAAGCGCAGAAGATGCAAGAAATTGGATAAAACACTACTTCATACTAGACATTATTCAAAATTGATAGCAATTTTAGGATGAAATTTAAGATTTCTAATGCAACTACGGTCATAGACCCTAAGGTAGTATTTGGTTCATTAGAATGATAATTATGTTAGAATGTCTATTCATACATTTGGTTCACTAAAAAATGATGAAAATCACATTTCAAATTAAATCATCATTCACCATTCTAAGTGAATGGTCATTCCATAAGGAGACTAAGGAATGAGCATTTCATTTCTTTCCATTTTCATTCCAATGAGCCAAATATATCCTTAAACGAGTGGAAAAATAGTGTGGAAAAGGAGAAGTGTAGGATAGAACAGTGGAAAATCGAATTGCGATCTGTTAGGGAAGGGGGAAAAAGAAAGAAAAGAGACAAAAAAACCAATCAAAAAAATCGACTTGGGAATATGTGAAGCCAAAACAAGATGTTTGCATTGAATGAATCCAGTTCCATGACGAAAAAAATTGCCTAAAAATGGGCCAAACCAAACACCAAATGGGTTGCCACATGATCGAATCAAAGATGTTCTGGGCAAAAAAAATCCAAACTATGGTTACCTGGTGTGCATGTGCATAAGCCATTACTCTTTCTCTCTTGATGATTGCTTCCATTTTTCTATGCATCCTTGCCTCTATTTCCTCTTTTGTCAGCAAGCTATCATCCCATTCCTCCTGGAGACCTGCCTCAGACTGTACCAACAACAACACTCCCATTTAATTAATAACTGTCGCACTTAATTAGCTGACTAGATCAAATTGACAGTAAAATAGCAGTGTTCTGATTTAGATTATTTCTGCTTGACTCTCAAACATTTAAATGATCCTTTTGATTAGTTTGGAGTTTGTCTTTAGTGCCTTCCATCTAATAAAATAAACATAAGAGTCCAACAAACAACATGGTTACTTCAAGTTCCTAGTGTCGATTTTCAGTGGAGCCGAACAAAAAATATGCAATATGTGGAAGGGACGCACCATAATTTGCATAAGAATCTGTACATAATTATCATCAAATTAATATCAGGGGATGAAACCTAAGAAGCACAAACACTTCTAAGAAGGTAATGTGTCGTGTCCAACACCGACACGACACTCGTTGGACACTTCCTAACACTTAGACACTCATAAAGCACATTACAAGTTTGTATAAAATAACTTGAAATTCAATAATAAAACACAAATAATGTAAATTAATACATATTCTCCTCCTTTTGACTATCAAAATTATTATATTTGACTTAAATACTCATATTTGCACGTGTCCTTCACGTGTCGTCTCCTACAAATTTTGAAAATTTATGTGTCGGCATGTCCGTGACCATGCTTCTTAAGATGAGATTAATCTAATCCATGTACGTGGCATATTCACAAGGTCATAGCCAATCGGGTCGGGTCGGGGGCAAATTTTGTTAGATTGATGTTGGGTTTTGTTAGGTATACCTCCTTAGTAGAGTATGAGATCCAATTAGTTTATTAAAAATATTTAATTTGGTTTGGTGGTGATTATAATATATTTTTAATATATTATATTTGACTTTTGGAGGCCCAATGGGTGTTTAATAATCTGTTTGGTGGCAGCTAGGATTTTCATAAAAAGCCCAAGAATCAACACTACATTTATATATATTGTTTTTGTTCTTCCAAATGTGTTGCGGCAGCTATAAGATTGATGATCCATTCGGTGGGTGCTTGAAAAATTAATTTGGTGGGTTGAATTAATTTGGGTGCTGTGTTCATGCAGTGTTGTGGTTGATTATTAGGATTTAGCAGTAGCGTGTGGATTGATTTGGGTTATTATTTTGAGTCTTCTACAACTCTGTTTCGAAAACTTTTGTTCATCTATTTAGTAAGGTCTTTCCTCTTGTTTATTTGTGATTATTTGGAATTCACCTAAAGGTGATTTGTGAGACCATTCGTGTCTCGTTTGTAATCGTTTGAAAACTTTTGGTTGATAGTAGAATCAGATTTCGATCCCGTGGATGGCATTGAGGGAACCACGTAAAAATTCTTGTGTCGTTGTTGATTTAATTTTTCTGCATTAGTTTTTATTTCCATTGATTGATTTACTTGTAGGAAATCATCTATTTTTCCTAACAATTAACAACTAGTATCAGAGCATACGGTTTATTTGGATTTATTTACTTGTGTAATCAATGAAGGGAACTGTGAGTCGTATGTCTAGCTTCAGTAGAAGCAATTGGATAACTTGAAAAACTAAAATGGAGGACTTATTATTTTGTAAAGATTTGTATGGGCTTATTGAGGATGATAGTGGCAAATCCGATGGTATGAAAGATGATGAATGAAAGAGGCTTAATCGAAAAGCCGTTGGTGTTATCCGTCAATGGATTGATGACAGTGTGTTTCATTATATTGCTACTAAAATTTCGGCACATGATTTATAAAAAAATTAGGTTCTTATGACAGAAAATCAACCACAAATAAAGCCTTTCTGTTTCGAAAGTTGGTTAATTTAAAATATAAAGATGACAGCCTTATTTCGGAACATTTGAATAAAATAAAGAGTATTGTTAACTAACTTGCTTTTATGAAAATTATTTTTGATGATGAGTTGCAGGCTTTGATACTACTTAGTTCTTTGCCCGAAGGTTGAGAGACTTTGGTTGTGACGGTTAGTAATTCGGCGCCCGATGGAGTTGTCACAATGAGCCAAGTCACTTGTAGCTTGTTGAATGAAGAAACTAGAAGAAAATCAACAGGTTCTTCTCATTTGGAGGCATTTGTTGTGAGAGGCTGAAACAAAACAAGGGGGAGGAGTAAGACTCTTCATGGCCGTGATCAAAGCCATGACAAATCAAGAGATGAATCTTTTTCAAAGAAAGACATTGAGTGCCATTATTGCCATGAGAAAGGGCACATGAAGCGGGAACGTCGAAAGCTCAAGAACAAAGAGAAAAGCCGTGACAAAAGTGTGGATAAGAAGTAAGAAGACACAACGGCAGTTATTACCGATGGTGATCTCATGGTTGTTTGTGAAGATGATTGTCTTAATTTTGTGGGCCAAAAGAGCAATTGGGTGAGATTGATTCCAGTACTTCTTTTCATGTGACTTTTTAAGTTGATTTCTTCACTAACTACACCAAAGGAGATAATGGGTGTGTTTGAATAGGTAATGAAGGTTTGTCCAAAATTGTTAGCATGGGTGATAGTTGCGTGGAAACAAATTTAGGTTGCAAGTTGTTTCTTAAAGATGTAAGGCATGTTCCAGACATTCGCCTAAATTTGATCTCTACCAGGGAAGCTAGATGATGAAGGCTACAACAACAAATTTGGTGATGGAAAATAGAAGTTTACAAAGGGATCTTTGTTGGTGGCTAAACTCATACACTTTATTCGATGCAAGAAAAAATTTGTAAAGGTGTTATCAATGCATTTGAGGATTATACTTTTACCGAATTGTGACACAAGCGGCTTGGGCACAGGAGTGAAAAATGGCTACAAGTTTTGTTCAAGAAAGAGGTTCTATCTGGTTTGAAAGGCATGTCTTGTTGTAAAAGACTTTGGACAAAAGAAATGTGTTGACTTTGATGAAATTTTGTCGCTGGTTGTGAAAATGTCTTCTATTCGGGTTGTACTCTATGTTACACGGACTCGGGTGCGGGTGTCGGGTATGGGTGCGTATCTAAGGGTCAAACACTTCAAAATTAAAAATTGGGGATACGTGGATATGGATCCAAATTTCGATAATAGTTATTTTTTAAAATATATTTATTATATGAAGATAAGTTAAAAAAAGTTAAGGAATAACAAATTTTGTTAAAAAAATAACAAATAAAATATAAATAATAAATAAAAATTATTTTAGATATAAAATAAATTATATTATATATGATAAAATAAATTATTTTTATTTTAGACATAAAAATTATAATATATTATATTATACAATATTTTTTTGAGGGAATATTATATAATATAAATACAATTATATATTATTATATTAATATCATTTATAAATAGAAAGCAAAGAAATAGAACGGAGAGGAAGAGAAGTTAGATTCAAAGAAGAAGAGAGAGAGAGAGAGACCAAAGGGGAATTGAAACCCTAGGGTGGAATCGACTTTGAGATGTTGGTTTTCAGATCTCCTTCGATTTGGTCTAGTTCGCAACTAGGGTTCGCACTTTGATCTTGATTCGTAAAGGTGAGTTTCAACCCCTCTCTCTCTCTCTCTCTCAACAACCCTTCTTCTTTCTCCTCTCATATCAGCCATGTCCGAGAAAACTATGTCGAATCCAACACATATCTCACACCCGTACCTGTGTCGTGTCGTGTCGTGTCGTGTCGTGTCGACACGGGTACTTTGCTCTAAACCGGCGAGTCCATGTAACACAAGTTGTACTTGGCATAGCCGCAAGTATGAACCCTGAAGTTGAGCAACTTGATGTGAAGACTGCATTTCTTCATGGTGATCTTGAAGAAGAAATTTACATGGAGCAACCAGAGGGTTTTGTGAAAAAAAGGAAAGAGAAATTTGTTTACAAATTGAAGAAAAATTTGTATGGTCTCAAGCAAGCCCCGCAGCAATGGTACAAAAAATTTTGACTCTTTCATGATGAATAATGATTTTACTAAAACCACTTCAGATCATTATGTGTTTGTGAAAAAAATTTCAGATGGAAAAATATTATTCTTTTGCTTTATGTTGATGACATGTTAATTGTGGGTCAAGATTCTATCATGATTAACAAGTTGAAGTTAGAGTTGAGCAAGTCTTTTACTATGAAAGATTTGGGGTCGGTAAAGTAAATACTTTGTATGAAAATTGTTTCGTGATCGAAAGAAGGGACTGATCTGGTTGTCTCAAGAAAGCTACATTGAGAAGGTTCTTGAGAGGTTCAACATGGATAAAGCAAAGCCGATTGATTGTCCACTTGCGGGTCATTTCAAGCTTAGTTCAAATCAATATCCTACAAATGAGAAAGATAAGGAAGAGATGCTAAAAATTCCTTATGCTTCAACGGTTGGTTCCTTGATGTACACTATGATTTGTACAAGGCCGGATATTGCTCACGTTATTGGTGTGGTGAGTCGGTTTCTCTCTTATCTGGGTAAAGAACATTCGGTAGCGATAAAATGGATTCTAAAGTATATTCGAGGGACTTCGAAAGTACGTTTGTATTTTGGGAATGGTAAGCCGATGCTTGATGTGGGTTCACCGATTTTGACATGCCAGTGATGTTGATTCTAAGAAATCTACTTCGGGATATTTGATGACATTTGTAAGGGAGCTGTGGCATGGCAATCTAAATTACAAAAATGTGTTGCTCTCTGAACTACCGAAGCTGAATTTATTGCCATTACGATAGCTTGCAAAGAAGAGTTATGGTTGAATAAATTTTTGCAAGAGTTAGGTTTGAAGCAAGAAAGGTACGTGCTTTATTGTGATAGTCAAAGTGCTATTCATTTGAGTAAAAACTTCACTTTTCATTCGAGATCGAAACACATTGATATAAGATACTATTGGATTCGTGATGTGCTAGATTCGAAATTGTTACAACTCGAAAAGGTTCACACGGATGATAATATTTCGGATATCCTTCAACACCCCCCTCACTACTTAAACCAAGTGAGATGGTTTTACCACAGTTGGATGATAGTACAACCGAGCTAACGCTCTCTTTCATACTCATCCCGGCGCCTTTATATGCAACATGTATCTCAGCTCATGTTTTACTTGTACCTCGGTTTTCGCTTGTTTGGACCGGGCTAATCTGTAGCAAGCTTTAACCGGGCTAAAGAGGCGAGGTCTAGCTTAAGGAGCCCACCGTCCCGACCGCGGTGACTGTAACCACCTGGACCGAGCTAAAGACTAACACCATGGTCCACTTCACAAAGCCCTTTTTACCTCGGCCCACAAAGCGGCCCATATATTATTTTTGTTCTTCCAAATATGTTGCACCAGCTATAAGATTGATGATCCATTCGGTGGGTTGAATTAATTTGGGTGTTGTGTTCATGCAGTGCTGTGGTTGATTATTTGGATTTAGCGACAGCATGTGGATTGATTTAAGTTATTATTTTGGGTTTTCTACAATTTTATTTCGAAAACTTGTGTTCATCTATATGGGGAGGTATTTCCTCTTGTTTATTTGTGATTATTTAGAATTCACCTAAATGTGGTTTGTGAGACCATTCGTGTCTCATTTGTAATCGTTTAGAAACTTTGGTCGATAGTAGAATTGGATTTCGATCCGTAGATGTACCTCACATTGAGGGAACTACGTAAAAATTCTTGTGTCGTTGATTTAATTTTTCTGCATTAGTTTTTATTTCCATTGATTGATTTACTTGTGAAAATCATCTGTTTTCCGTAACAAGTTTCAGGTCAAGTTTTAACAAATTAAATAATTATTAGAGTATTACTCAATATACGTCATTAGCCTAATAAAAAATTATAAGAGTCTAATGTCAATTTAGATACGTTACTCACTTCTCATAAACTTATGTAATTATTTGAATATTAGCAATATTTTAGGCTTATAAAGCTTCAAAAATAGTTTAATTAAAAAATTATAGAAATCCACATAAAACACCAATCTCTTTTCTCTAACAAAATTTAACATTTTTATATTGTAAAATTTAACTATTTTTAAGCAAAGTTTTTATTTATTTATTTAAATATGATTTCACATCAATCAGGTAGACTAAGTTTTTTTTTTTTAGAAAGTAAGTAGACTATACATTTCAAAACAATAACAATAAAAAACATACTCTATTTTTTGTTTATCAGAAGGCTTTTTTAAATATTAGGTGACCAATGGCTTTTTAACAAGAGGTTAGATTAAATTTTTGGAAGCTGTAACTTGAGACATTAAATTTTGAAAGGCAACCCGAGTGAGCTTTCCAAAATATTTACGAATACCAGATTTAACTTGGGGGACCATTACAAAAGATACAATAATTTTTAAAAGCGTGTACACATACACAAATGGAATTCTTGAAAACATTGGAATGGTCACATTTTTTAGTCTAGCAAGAATCCATTCATCATATTAGACCAACTCGAACCCATAACCAGTAGGCCCACTAGATTTGTTGTAAATTTGATGCCAACACCCAACCAATGTTATACACATCAATCAAAAAAGTCCCATGAGGGGACAATATTGGAGGTCAATGAGTTGCGTTCATGGATTTTACTTCAAGATGACCACCTAAAATAAGTAGGAAAGCAATCACTACAAAATGAACCAGAGTGAAATTTTACTACCTGGGTTGCAGTCCATTTGCCCAAGCTACTGTCCAAGTCCTTGTCATTCTTGCAAGCTTGGCGGCGTTGGATAGCCTGGTTTTCTAGCATCTGGGTCCTTCGTGACTGAATTTGAGTTTGAACTCGCACTAAGAGTTGCATCATTTTCATGGCATTGATCGTCTGTCGCTCCACGTTCTGGGCTCTCACTGCTCCTTGAAGCCTCACTAGACCCCTCAAAGCTGTAAAGCTCCTCCTTGCCTGTATTATGGAAATCTCAAAATGTCAATTTCCATGGGTGTCCAATACAAGAGCCATAAAACACAAATAAAATAAACAGTAATCCACAATTAGGGCCTAAAGACAAAAATAATCTTGTGCCAGTCTCAGATGGCTTTCTCTTTACTTGGTCTTAAATTTCACATTTGGTCAAAAAATTCTTTGGAAAGGGTTAGGAACAGAATTTATGGCCTAATTTGGTTCATTCATTAGCCATCTTCGTTGTTCTGTTCTATGTTACACGAACTCTTCAAAATAAATCAAATACCCGTATCAGACACCCGACACTCGGACAAGGGTATGGGATATGTATCGGATAATTTTCAACGGACACTTCTTATATAATTGTATATAACACTATTATTATATGTACATATTGTTGTATAATTGCTAGGAATGTCTTCTTGACACTGTAAGTTACATATAGCACAATTTTATCTCACATATTTGATTAAAAATATAAAAATATGATATTTTTTTACCGAGTCTGCGTACCCTTAAATTTATGATTTGATGAGTCTGATCTGTATATACATATCCGCATCCGGCACCCGTACCCGAGTCCATGTAACATAGGTTCTATTTAACCATATCAGTTCAATCTTGACATTCATTTGAGACCCTTAAAACTGAATGAACAATCACAGTACATAGATTGGATGGCTGAAGTCATTGGATCATTGCATTGGGCAATCACATAAACAAGGTAATTTTGCATTGATGTCTCCCAATGAATCCATGATATCACTTCATCAAATTGAGTCAAGTTGGATCTTTCTCGATTATTTTTCTCGTTACATTTTTCAATACTATCCATTATAAATGCATTAAAATCCAATAAGATAAAATTTCCAACAAACAAAGGAAAATTAGAGTCTTACCATGTAACCTCGATAGGCTGTTTGGATCCTGATGGCTGAAAGATGCTGGTATTTGAGAGTTGGTTCTGGTCGGTAGGTAACTTCCTTACGATGATGAACTGCTCTTGAAGAAGCACTGGGAGAAGTGGCTTGTGGAGAAGCAGCAGTGGGAGAAGAAGTGGCTGGTGCAGAAACAGCAGTGGGGGAAGAAGTGGCTGGTGCAGATACAGCAGTGGGGGAAGAAGTGGCTGGTGCAGATACAGCAGTGGGGGAAGAAGTGGCTGGTGCAGATACAGCAGTGGGGGAAGAAGTGGCTGGTGCAGATACAGCAGTGGGGGAAGAAGCTCGTAGAGAAGCAGCAGTGGAAGAAGTTGCTCGTGGAGAAGCAGCAGTGGGAGAAGTGGCTCGTGGAGAAGCAGCACTGTCGAGAACCAAAGGTGGTGTTTCTGGTTGGTCAGCAGCTGGAGTGGGGGCACTAGTGACATATATTTGTTGGTCTGCTTCACCCAATATTTTCTCGATACTGCTCGGCTCCCTGAAGAGGGGAATGAATGATTTGGTCTCTCCATCCCTCAATATTCCTTTCCCCTTCTTTTCCTTAGTACTATTCTTTTTATCCGATCCCTACAACAATAGGACCTGATTAAAAAGAACCCATGATATCAGCTGAAAATGTATTCAGGAAATTGTTTGTATGCTTTTCTGGCTGCAAAATCTGCTAATAGGGTTGTAAATGAGCCAATCCAAGTAGTGGCTTGTTTAAAAGCTTAGCTCCAAAACTTGTTGAGCTTTGAAATTTGTTAAAACTTGGCTTGTTCATCTTTCGAGCCGATCTCAAAGGTGACCATCACAAGTCAAGCTCAAGTACCTTAGTTTTTTACACAATCCAAAAATGTATATAAGCTTATCGAGCAAAAACTTATAAAATTGACTAGTTACAAAAATTGTTTCATGCTTGGCTTGTTCACATAATGAGCCAATCTCGAATGATAATTTAGCAAGTCAAATTTAAGTTGAGATCAAGTAGTTTGATTTGTTTGCCATGAGTTTTGCTCTCCTGATCAATAGAAGTACATCCGAACTCCTAAATAATACTCGAGTTGTCGTGCTGTCCAAATTTTGAACAAAGCAAGATTACAAAAGATGGGTTGCTATGCTATCTAACTTTCATCTGTTGGGCATGATGGTCACAAATTTGAATCCAACAAGCGATACAATTGTAACTAATTATCAGACACCTTGTTCTGGTTGAATTATAAAAAATAAAAAAGCATCACAATTGAGCTTGCTCAATGATGTTCTAGGCCAAAAACCTCAAGCAAGTCCACCATTTTATCAGCTTTTCTGGAAAAGATAACATAAGCGATACTGGAAATTTGAAGTTCCCATTTCCATGGGTAACAAATAAATAAATAAGAAATAAACCATTAAGAAACATTTTTACGGCATTGTAATATGACTTTTAAGGTATCCACTTACATTCACCACCTTATCTTTGGAATTAGGTACGAAAACCCTCTTGATTGCTGCAAACCAACTCCCTTTCTTGCCCATGTTTCTAGCATCACTGTTCGTCCCTAAAACAAGATAAACAAATTAAAGAGCGAATTAGTGTTTTAGGTACGAGTACGAATTCACTTCAAATGATCCAAAATAATACATAATGTCGAGGGTTGCATTGTATCAGCACATGAATTTTACCATTTTTTTTTTCACATCCATCATGGATCCACAGAGGAGGCGGAAAAACAGTGAAATTCATATGATGACAAATATCATTTTTTTACAATCTTATATGAAAATCACAGTTAGTGCATATGGCCTAGCAGCAAAATCTATCTATGAGGTATCAGTCTAATCTAAACACAAAAATGGTTAAGTTATTTGCTTTCATCAAACCCCCTTCTTGCAATTCTTTGTTTTTTCTCTATGTCGGTTAGAAATGAAATCACTTGCCTGTGTTTTCCTGTGTTGTATTAGTGATTTGTGCACGCAAAGGTTGAATACCTCAATAGTACAGTAAAAAACTGTCTCATTAATGTATGATCCATGAGTTGTATATATTCTTTAACACTTTTTCTATATTGCAGCAATGTATTTGTTGGCACTTATTATCTTCTTGGTCTCATTTACACAGTGAACAACAGATATATAAGACAGATAATGAGACAAACACTTTGAGAGAGAGAGAGAGAGAGAGAGTTTGGGTTGCAGATGACTTGGTTAATCAGGGACAAGAAAATTTCTGTCCAAATGAAAATAAAATAAAATAAAAAATAAAAAATTCCTTGAATAGTGAAAATGAATTTGTTCATAAAACACATAATCTGATTGATTCAAAACTGTGGGCCTTTCATTTGGGATTGAAATTCCAATAAATAACCAACATACACTGTATTCTTTCCCATAACAGAATCAACTATAAAGTAGGAAAAGATTCAAATTTTGTTTACTCAGATTCAGAATATGGTATCAAAAACCTGATGCATATATATAAAGACAAACATATACAAATATATGTCAACATTCATATATATTATAGATATACAACACAGATGAACTACAAAAGGAAAAATTCAAGAACATCTATCACTGAAGAACAGAACAGAACAGACCAGATAAAGACAAAGTAACAAGGAATTTAATTGGAGAATTAACCCAACAAAAAGATCAGTACCCACAAAAGGGAAAAACACACCAATCTTAGAAAAGGCCTAACCTTAAAGTCAATCTCAATAAATAACACAATTAGAACACATGGCCCAAAAATTAAATGATGTGTAATTGACAGTAATAATAATAATAAGAAAATAGTATATTAACTAAACAAGTTTTTCCAACCTTGCAAAAACCTTTCAGAAAGCTGCACCAAGCAGCAGGAGAGAGATGAACAAAGCTCCCTCCCTCTCTCCCTCTCTCTCTCTAGAACTGGTTTTTTTTTTTTTTTTTTTTCTTTTTCTTTTTCTCTAACCTCTCTTTCCTTTCCCAACCCACAACATGCTAGTTCTTCCCTTCATAGAGCTTTTCAGAATTTGCGTTTCACCCTTTGCTTTTGCATTCTTTCTTTAGAACTTTGAATATGGTTCAAGGTTTTACTTTTCTTCCTACTTTTTCACCTTTTTGTAATTTTTATAAATAATTTTGGTTTAGGGGGTTGATGATGGGGGAAGTTGGCTGCTTTTCTCAATCAAAGGATGGGTTTGGGCCAACAACCTCTTTTGTTTCAACTTTACTTGAATGCGAAGACTATTTTTGACAGCAATTCCCCACTTTAAACGGTTCGCTTGTTCTCTTTCTTATGATTATGATATCGTTATTACGTTTGTGTCTCTGTCACTGTGATAATTTATCATTTCTTCGTTTGAATCGAAAAAAAAAAAAAAATTATCATTTCTTCGTTTGAATCGAATTTTTTTCTTTTTTTTTTATTGGTTTAAAGGTGCAGAAATTATACCTTTGCTCTGGAATTTTAGTTGCATTTGTTTGCTCTTGAGTGATCTGATTTTTTTCGGCGAATTTATCAATAAATCTCATATACAAAATTCAAAACACATCTAATCTCGAAACAAAACACTTACATTAATTAGTCCTAAATATTTTTAATTGTCACAAAAAGATTCTATTTTTTTTAAAAAAAATTTACAGACTTTGCTACATCTCACCATCGTCGGACTTCCATCAATGGTCATCGGAAACTTGTCGGAAGTGATCTGATTTTTTTAGGCGAATTTATCAATAAATCTCATATACAAAATTCAAAACACATCTAATTCCGAAACAAAACACTTATATCAATTAATTCAATATATTTTTAATTGTTATCAAAAAATCATTTTTTTTTCCTTTTTTTTTTAATTTACAGACGCTGTTACATCCCACTACCGTCGGGCTTCCATCAGACGATCACAACAGACTTACCAGGATGTTCAATGTCACGCCCTCAAAATAAAGTGAATAATTCAACCCAAGAGATCTATAAACATAATAGAAGATGTGATATTTTCATTCATCAGAGTTTATATTAAAAGAGGTATTACATACATTATACTTTTATAAATGTTCATTCTGAAACTACAACATGTAACACTAATTGATTACAACAAAATAAATGTTCTACGGGTTTACATCTTCCCAAGATATCACTTGGTTACAACAAAAGAGTCCTAAGCTCTATACATGTAAAGTCATTGTCTTGAATTAACATTTAAACACAAAAATAACAAAACAAAGCCTCCAACTCCTAGGTCCTCCCAAGCTACGCCCTTGGAAGAGACATGTCGCCTATACCTGAAAATGGTTTCCCAAGCAGAGTGAGCCAAAACTCAGTAGAGATAAACTAACATAATATATGAGATGTAACTAAGATATAAATGTCAGATAAAAGTCCAACGCTCAAGGCCAACTTATATTCTCTCCATTACCATTCAATTTTGATAACTACAATTTAATCCATTTCCATTCATACATTTTAAATCAATGAATAGATGTAGCTCCTTATCATTTAAACAATCTCAAATGAGACTACTACTCATTCATTCACATTTCCATAACATTCATTATTCAAACACTTCAAACTTCTTGTCATTTTACGAATTCTTGTTCGAGAGAACTGGCACCCAAATATACACATATAAGGTTTCGAAATTTTTACCATGGACACTCTGGCCAACTTAATTTAAAATGGAGTTCATCCCCTATCTCCTCCCAAACAATGGAGTACATCCTCTATCTCCTCCCAAATAAAGATACATATACAATGTATTTAAAAGCGTTGTCATAAACAATGACTATCCAAATCACATATTCAATGGTTTAATCACACCGTCATATTCAATGACATAATTCAAATAACTAGTTTCAATTTATCTAGTCCTCATATAGTTTCTACAACAATCATAACTATCCTCTACCGATAGTCCAAAACAGATATACAATCTTTTAAACAAATAATTTATCAAATTTTCATAGGTGAGTGATTTAACAAATCCGACTACACCATTCATTCATACACTCTTCCAATTTCATATTTCTCATATCAATCTCATTATTTAAACAAAATAATTTATTTAACTCAAATTAGGGCAAATTTCTCCATTTTTCAAATATTAACCCCAAGGCCAAATTTTACCATTTTAACCTAAGGTGACCTCATATTCAATACCTCATATTCATTTATGGAACCCAACATAGAAAAACCCTCTTTTAATTTGATCTTAAACCCTAGTTTATCCAAATCACTTTCAAATCCCATCATTTATTCATAACAACAAATATCTAGATTAAAAATCATAACAAGGTGTAGAATATCCCTTACCTCAAGAGTAGAAGCTCAAAGGAGATGATGAAGAACTTCAAAAATGCTCCAAATTCGATTCTGTTCGGATCAAAAGGAAGCTCACAAGATGCTCTAACTCTTTAACAAAAGGACTAGGGTTGAGAGATACTTGGATCTTGAAGTGTTGAGAGAGAGAGAGAGAGAGAGCCAGATTAGGGTTTTGAGTGAAAAGAGATACAAAAAAGTGGTACAAAAGTACTCTACTGCGAACTAATATACGCGATCCTCACTCGAGCGACCAAATACAACAAGTGACCTCGCTCGAGCGCAAAATACATGCCTTCAGGTATTTCACAAACGCATACCCTCGCTCGAGCGCAACAAGCCTCACTCAAGCAAAAAACTTCATCTTCCCAGAAATGCTACGTCTGGGAAGAAAACCTAAGAACCCTCAGAACTCGCTCGAGCACAAGAAACCTTGCTCGAGTGAAGAAGCAAATTACATAAGGCTCGTTCGAGCGCAAGAAGCCTTGCTCGAGCAAAGAAGTCAAAATCTGGACAACAACAATGTAGACCAACTAACAACCAACCTGATCCAAACTCACCTAACATGTTCTAAAACTCAAATTCAAAGAGTTAAAGGAGGAAAACAAAACATGGATACAATATACAACCACGGGACTCGAGTCCGGAACACAATGAAGGTCGGGTCAAAACCAGAATCGCTATATTCAACATCACCAGGAAGTCGCCGGAGTATCATCGGAAGTTCACCGAAGTGTTATGAAGGTTAATGGAAGTTGTTGGAATATCCAAAACGTTCATTAGACGTTAAGAATATCATTGGGAACTCACTGAAATATCCAAAATAGTGCCGGAAAAAAATAAATAAATGGAGAAATTAGAGCTAAAAAGCATAGCAAAATGTGCTAAATATTGACAAACTAAAATAAAAAAAAATGTAATGATAAAAAACAGTAACAATGGGAAAAAACTTATGTTGTTTTTCAATTTTTGTACGGTTTAAGTAAATAATCTCCAATATTGATCAAACTGAAAAGCAAGCTCTGAAATTGTACAGTTTCAAAGCAAAATCTATTAAACATTTATCTTTATTAATCAAACTGAAAAACATGTTATGAAACTACAAAACTTTACAATTCTAAAGAAGGTTATGAAACAGTAAAATTTTGCAATTTTAAACTATGATTCATTTCAGCACCAAAAAAAATTGAAACTGTAAAATTTTACGATTTTCACCGCCTGTAATTAAAATTCGAAAACAACCTGCTCAGAACTTGAAAATTTTCTCCACTAAAACAGAAAAAGAGAAGTGTATAGCAGAGAAAATGTAAAAAAAATTAAGAGATCGAAGGAGAGAGGCGGATATAGAGAGCGGATTATATTCCAGCAACTATTTTTTTGTTTAGATCTAGCCGGATCTAATGTAGATCTACATCAGATCTAAGTAGATCTACTCATTTTCTTCGTCGAAAACATATCTTCTTTACCGTCGGTGAGGGTGAAATAAAGAGTTGACGGTCGGTGATTGTCCATGAATCCTAATCGATGGTAGTCGTCAGTTGTCGGTGACTATATATCAGAAAGAGAAAGAGAAAAAGTAAGATGTGGTTGTCCGTCGACGATCGCCAGAAATCACAAAGAGCAAAAGAGGCAGAGAACAAGAAAAACGTTATAGGACTTTTAAGTATAAACAAAAGGTTATGGGACTAAATAGGCTACATGTTTTTCAAAAAGCCTTTTTGGTAATTTGCCCATTTTTTAAAGGATGTAGTTTATCTCTAGTTTGTTAGATTGATGAGTGTTTTTGGGCTGTAGTGAGTTTTGATCCGGACCATATCAATAATTTAAATTGTTTAATGTGTAGAGCACGTCAAATGTATTATTTTTACAAAAAATCTTATTGATTAAATATCGATAGACATTTCATGAAATCACAATTCTGCCAATAACAAGAATGATTTTTAAAATAAATTATGATAGAAATGTGATATAATCAACACCATTTTTTACAATGATGATATATTCGACAATCTCTAGACATTGAGTTGCTTGAATTATCGAGATGGGCTCGAATTAGAGCACACCATGGCCCAACAATACCCTTCAATCCAATAGCAGATAGGAGAAGAGCCAAATCCTTTTTTTAATTCCTGAGTTTTTATATTTTTCTTATTTTGTTAATTTTATGAAAATTTTAAAATATTTTTACATAATCAAAACATATTTAAAAAGTAAAATATGAGAGTTTTTTTTAAAAAAAGTTCAATAAATACAAAAATATATTCAATTTTTTATTTTTTTTTATTTCGTAAATTTTTTAAATATTTTTTCACAAATTTTATAGTTTTAAGCATATCTAAATTAAGTAGATCTAAAAAATTATTAAAATATTTTTTAAAATTCACTAAAAACAAAAGCATATGAATTAAAAACTGGGAATACTATTTTTAAAAACTCCAAAATCAAACAAAGTTCATGGTTAAACTTCTCTCAAGTTTAAATTTGAACTTAAGAGAATTATCCATGCCTATAGGGCCTATCACTAATCTAATTTTAATAATTCGTACTATTCATTTTATAAGGTCCTTAATATGTATTATCTATGAAAAAAATTAAGTCGATTCGTAACCTTTTCATTTTATTGCGTTTGTTTGGAATTTTTATTTTATTTTATCTATTTTCAAAAATACATTTGTGATTCATTTTTTTGTGACAAGTGTGACAAAATAAAAGAAGTTATAATTTTCAGATTAACTTAATTTTTTTCATGAATGATACATAGAGAGCTTACAAAATGAACTGTTTGAATTATCAAGTGGGACATATAGTGGGCTCATGGGCACGAGCAAACTTCAGAAAAGTCTAACTTTTAATTTT